ACATTGTCCTGTGGGGGGGTGGGAATCACACAGAGATCCCTCCCTGGGACCCCAAACTCAGCCCCAGCCACGACTGGGGGGCTGCTGCCAGCCCAGGGAGAGAGCCCAGGGACTCGGCACAGGGATGGACGGACAGACGGACGGAGTGATGGATGGATGATGGATGGATGGATGGATGGATGATGGATGGATGATGGATGGATGATGGATGATGGATGGATGGATGGATGATGGATGATGGATGGATGGATGATGGATGGATGGATGGATGATGGATGATGGATGGATGGATGATGGATGGATGGATGATGGATGGGTGGATGGATGGAAGGAAGGAAGGACGGACGCTCACCAGCAGCAGCAGCTCCTGGGTCTGGCAGCGGGTGTCGGGCATGGAGAAGTCCCCGGTGTAGGTGGCAGATTGGGACCCCGCGAACCTGACCCTGGGCGGGTGCCGGTCCTTGTCGGCCTCCAGCGTGTACTGCAGGGCTGGGGGACAGCACGAGTCGTCCAACGCCCCCCACAGCGTCCCCAAGCGTCCCCCCCCAGCTCCCCCCACTCACTGATCCTCTCCTTGTAGTTGGGGTCCCCCGCGCTCTGGTTGTAGGAGAAGCACAAGGTCACCGTCATGCTGGGGGGACAAAGGGACCGTGAGCCAAGCCAGGGGTGCCAGCGGCAGCCACGGGGACACGGGGACTCACCAGGACTTGGGTGTGCACTGGGCGGGGTCCACCTTGCTGGGGGTCACCGTGAAGGTCTTGTCCAGGATGTTGATCACGGGACGGGCTCTGGGCAGGGATTGGGCTTGGCTGAGCCCCCCCTGCTCTGTGCCCAGCCCAGGGGTGGCAGGGGGGCCAGGACACCTGTCCCCTGTCCCCTGTCCCCGTTCCTGTACCTGAGCAGGACGATTCGCTCGCTCAGGCTGCCCACCAGCAGATCCGGGTAGGAATTCCCGTCCATGTCCAGCCCCCCGCTCAGGGAGTACCCGAAGGTTTTTATCGTGCTGGGGCCCAGCTCCGACCCGCTGATCACCTGGATTTGGGGGGCAGGGGGGTCTCAGTGCTCATCACCCCAGGGATGGACCCCCTGCACCCCACCCCGGAGCTGGATCCAAAGGCCGGATCCAGGGAGGGATCCAGGGAGGGATCCAGGGAGGAATCCAGGAAGGGATCCAGGGAAGGATCCAGGGAGGGATCCAGGGAGGGATCCAGGGAAGGATCCAGGGAGGGATCCAGGAAGGGATCCAGGGAGGGATCCAGGGAAGGATCCAGGGAGGAATCCAGGGAGGGATCCTGGGAGGGATCCAGGGAGGGATCCAGGAAGGGATCCAGGGAGGGATCCAGGGAGGGATCCAGACCCTGCCCGGCTCAGGGCTCCCGGGGCCGTCACCTGCCGGGGTCGGTCCCGCAGCCCCTCGGCGCTGCTGTGGTAGATGTAGACCTTGCCAGGCCCCTCGAAAGGAGCCCCCACGGCGATATCTGGGGGGACAAGAGCAGGGTCAGCCCCCCCAGGAGGCTCCCCAAAAAGCGGCTCCCCACGAAGGCGTCCCCGGCTGCTCACCCTGGAAGCCGTCCTGGTTGATGTCCCCGATGCTGGCCAGTGCAAAGCCGAACCCCGAGTAGCTGGGGCCGGTCAGGACCAGGCTGGGGAGCTGCTGGAAGCCCCCGGCCTCGTTCATGTACACGAACACCGCGCCCCCCACCTCCTGCTTCCGCTCGAAGTA